ACATAGCAACTAGTTGCTCCCAAATGAATCACTCCAGCTGCTTTTGGTGCAACTAAACCAAATGTATGAACATGTGCCATAACATCATGACGACGTTTTTTCTCTTCTATTGCTGCTACTTTAAAATCTTCTTCGGTTAAAGTCTTTTTTTAAAAAAAAATATTTAACATTAGTAAATTTTTTATAAAGAAATGATAATAATAATAAAATAGTATTTTACCAAGTGTTCTTCCATTTCTTGAATGGCATCTTCAGTAATGCCAGGTATGCCCAACTCTTTTTCAGCTATAGCTAATTTCAACCAAAGTTTTCTCCAAATGTAACAACGATTAGCTGGAGAAAAAAGCGCCGCCATTTCTGGTGAAGCATATCGAGATGTTAAAGGACTTTCATATTTATTATTAACAGACATTTTTTGGTTATTTATTTTAAAAAACAAAAAAATAAATAAATTAGATTTGATAATCTATCAATTTAATCAATTTATCATTTCTGTAAATAATTCAATTGGATCAAAATTCTCACCAAAAATGATCTTACACAAATGACATTTCCATAACCGGCATGAATTCAACAATTATGAAATAAAAAGAATTAAAGAAAAGACAACATTCACAAATGTGACTTTTAACAACAATAATAAAGGAATTTATTTGATCCGAACATTCAAATATTTATCAAAATATTTTTCTGCTCTAAAACAGAATTAGAAAATTTCGTAAAGATAAATAAATAAATAAATAAATAAATAATTCATTAACCTCATTAATTTTTTCAACATCTTTTCCTTTACTATTATCACTAGAATCTAATTTTTATTAATTAATCAAATGAGAATAAAAATATTGTTAATAGTAATTAATTAACTCGCCTTTATTAAAATCGACATTTAAGAATGAGAGTTAAAATCAAGATTGATTAAAGAATAACGCGTTAACTAGAACTTGCATCCGAACCTTAAACTCACATTCGTTGTCTGATCCGAAAGTAATAAATGCTATTACTATCACTATTACTATTCCGAAAATCACTATCCTAAACCAAACATTCCCTTGTAGTCTACAGCTTTCAATGGTTTGATCTGATATGTTTCCATGTTTTTTTCTCAATAACAAACTGAGATGCGGTAAATACTTGTGCAAAATATTTCTAAAAATGCTTCTGATACACTATCGTTAAGTTATAATTGCTGCTAAGAAGATCATCAGTACATTTTGATGGAAATAATACACTACTCATGATATATTGATTGATAGTATAATAATGATAGTAATAGTTACATACTGTATATCACACATTGTTGGAAACCAAAAATAAAAGTATTTTCCAACCCTTCAATTCTTTAGTAGGAACATTAATATCTTCTTCAACAATAATATCATCGGCATTAGAGTTAATGTCGGTATTATCGATACTAGTTTGGCTATTTCCTTGAGGTAAAGGCGAGTATCCATCATCATCAACAATGACACCATTCCCTTTTGAATTGTCATTACCTTTATCATCATCGTCATTATGATACTTCCAAGCCAATAAACATAAGCAGCTAGAAAACATCAAGATATATATTATGTGTGGATAGTTAATGAAAC